ACGATCTAATGAGTTGTGATTTTGGGCACAATTACTACAGCGGGCTGGGCGCGTACATCTCACGTTGTCTTCATGTTTTGGTTCCCCACATTGAATGCATTTACTTTGTTGTTTGCAGACGTTGGAGGGGTGACCAAAAGATAAGCAGTTAAAACAGCGAAGGGGATTAGGAATATAATCTTGCACTTTGACCGTATGGAATCCTATCTTTATTGTTTCCGGAATTCTCGGTGTAGGAAAGGTCACGATATAAGAATTTGTCAATATCTCATTTCCATTTTTTCAAATTTTAATGCGTAATATATCCTTTATCACTGGAGATAATTCATTTTTAATTTCGTCTATCTCTAGAAATTGGAGGTCGTAACATCGAATCACTCTTTTACTGTAATTTAAGCTATTGTGGGGAGAAACCTGAACCGGAAATTGGCCACCAAAATTTTTACATTTTAATAATTCTTCTGATTGTTTTCTGTTTTTGGTTTCATTAGTAATGTGCCATTTCTTAGCTTTTTCACATTTTTTAAGTCTCCTACTAAACCTGAAAGAAACTTATTTACTAAGAACGGGGATACTTTTTGAAAATTTTGGTCATCTGATCTTTCTATTATTAAGATCGATGGGCTAATTGGCATCGCACCATCCGTATTTTCGACTTCGAATTTAAGACGACCCCGAGGTCGTTTTCGTTTAACCTTTGGGCTATTTAAATCTATGGGGACGACTCGTATATATGACAATAATAAGACCTATTTGGACTTACGGAATTGAGCTCTGGGGCTCCACTAAACCATCGAATTCCTCTCGTATCCAATCCTTACAATCCAAAATCCTTCGTAAAATCCTCAACGCTCCTTACTTTGTCACAAACAAAACCATCCATAAAGACCTTAATGTTCCATATGTTTCCGATTTTGCCCAATCCAGATACCTATCCTTCCATAACAAACTGCAGAACCATCCGAAACCTCTTGTTTTAAACCTTGCTTCCTCCTCGATCCCTGATAACCCTCCGAGGCATCTGAAAAGAAGATGGCCTCGGGATCTTCTAATATAGAACTTTAATTTGAGTTCTACCAATGGGTAGTTTCTCTTCATGTTTTACATGTCATGTTACCAATGTCACATTTACTTGTTGTATTTTTAATGTAATACAGTTGACAATTTCCTGGGCACTCTGTTCTCTAGCATTCGAGAGATATGACCAAACCACCTCTAAAGATTTTCTTTAATCGTCTCAACTGATATTATGTTCAGTTTATTTATTTATTTTTTTTTTTTTATTGTGGAATTCCTTATTGCGAATTTTTTTTTCGATCCTACGAAGGAATCTCATCTCCATGGCTTGAAAATGACAATTCTCAATTCTCATAGTTTTAGTTTTTTCCTCATTTATTTGCTTATTTATCTCATCTAATTCTTCTTAAAAAATGCGGAGGTTGAATGATAGGTTTCGTCTATTGTTTCAAAATACCACCAAATCGTCTGCATAAGTGAACAGAGAAGAAAGGACAGGTTGAAGATTTTTTTTTTTTTTCATAAAAAGCATCTCCAATAACATAATAATGGACCCTTATATCAAAGAACTCCGAAAAGTTATTAAAATGGATCTTCGATAGCGCAATTTTTAAATCTACTGTATATTTCTTTTTTTAAAGAAACTACAATCTCATAATAATGGACCCTTATATTCGAAAAAAACTGAAAAGATACAAAAACTCGACATTCGACTGCGCAATCTTAATGTCGAAATTATTTTTATAAAAAACATACTATAATGTACACCAGACTTCTAAGTTTACCAAAATCAAGTTTTTATTTATCCGTTGTCAACCTCTCTCAAGATTCACAATGTTTATCATAAGTTATGGTAATCATTGTGAATCTTGAGAGAGGTTATGGTCCAAAACCAAAGAGAACAGATTTCATTATCACCTTCAGAGCTATAACTGCTATGTGTAAACTTTCTCAAACAGTTATTCTAAATCCTCTTCAACTCAATGTTCATAAATAAAAAGAATTTGATGTCTGAAACAGGGCAGATCCAGTAGTTTGTTTGGAGAGAACTTATAGGGCTTTTTTTTTTTTTTTTAATTAAAGGCTTTAACCACTAGGGTCATTAGTGCCTTATTTTCATTGAGACTTACTTATAGGGTTTAATATTTTAGAATGAATGAATGAAAACAATTTTATTATTCTGGGACTAGTGTCCCTTTAGAAAAAAATATAAATACAGAATATATATTGACATTCTGGTGTGTCCATAAAATACAATCATATATTTACTAGATGATTAATAATAAAATAAAAGTACACATAATGAAAAAATATAAAAACGTTCATGAATATAAAATAGACAGAGAAAGTAAAATAAACAAACAAAATATCAATAAATCACGAAATAATCAAAGTATCTGGGGTTACTTCGAGATTCTTACGAGTTAGATTTTTAAGTGCATTTGATGATCAACCAGATTGGGAATGGAGTAAATGTTTGAAGAGGGAAGATTTGAAAGAGGATGCTGACTTTGACTTTGTGTCGAATATCAGAAGGGATCGAGTTATAGAGGAAGAGAGCTTGAATTAAAAAGGATTTGTCAAAAACAACAGTTCAGTGAAGAGGATAGAGATCAGACATATGGGATCTGGTGCGACTGGATTGAAAGAAGCATTTGAATTGTATTATCTGTAGAATATAGGAGGGTCACCGAGTTCTAATAGAATGGTAAAAGAAGGTAGCAAGGAAATACTGATGGCGGTAGGATGGCTAAAGCCACTTCAACACAGTGTAAAACTGGGTAATATGCGTATCCCTTGAAATCCCGAAGATAAAGCATATTGAGCAATTCATTAAACGTTAAGATCTTGAGTTCTCCCGAGAGTCCACCATACACCATACAGGCGTAGTTGAACTGGGGGAAAACTAGAGATGAAACCAGGAGTTGATGGGTTTTGAATGGAAAAAGATAACGTAGATGGTTAAACTGTTTCAGTGTGGAAATAGTACGGCAGGAAATTTGAGAGATTTGTGATTTCCAGGAGAGGGTTTGATGGAGGTTAACGCCAAGGTTTTCAATGGTAGTATGGAAGGAGATAAGTAAGTTGTTCAGGAGAAGATTGGGAGGTACTGAAATGGATTTGAGAAGTGAGGGGGATCCGATCACGATGGCTTTTGTCTTATCAATATTTAATTTGAGGTTATTAAGGTTTTCCCATGCGCATATTCTATTGATGTCTTGTTGCAGTTTCAGGATGGCATTAGAGAAATCAGTTGGGTTGAAGGAAAGGTAAATTTGGACTTTGTCGGCATATAGGTGGTTTTGACAATGCGTGATATAAGAAGGGAGGTCATTGATATAAATGGAAAAGAGGGTAGGAGTATAGTCTTCGAAAAGTCGAGTGTTCTTAAGCCTTCGTCTGGCAGCATCTCTTCGTTTATCTTTTATTGCAGGCGTCAACCAAGGGGCTGGGGGATACTTGATTGTCCTAACTTTAAGAGGAGCATGATGGTCTAGGATAATGTGCAGATGATTGGTTAAAGTTACTACCATAAAATCCACGGAGTTAGAGGAGTATATGGAGTCCCATTGGATTGTATCAAGATCAGGTATCAGAGTTTCGGATGATAGGAAATTAAGGTTTCTAAAAGATATAGGTCGGGGACAGAACAGCGGAACAGGAAGGTTATATGATATCTTCTTCTTCTTTGTCTTCCTCTTATGCCATTAATTAGCGTCGAGGAGCCTCAACCAGTGCAACCACTCTTCCCGGTCCGTGCTTAGTCGCTTCATCTCATTAAGGGTTTTGCCTCTTTTACATCCAATCCTTTGAATGTAATCCTGATTACATATATGATATCATGAGCAGATAAAAAAGGAACTGGATGCTCTATTTATTTTTTAGGGTGACTATAGGGGAGAAATATTACCTTGTATTTGTGAGATATTCTAATAAATAAATTATTTTACATATCATATCTCGAACTACAATAGTCATAGGGAGATGGGGGAGGGGGTAGGGTGACCGATTGGACTAAAGCATTTTCAATACACCCCTTACTTGGCAACCTAATAACCTAAAGATTATGAATTCGAGTTCTGATGCTGAAGGAATCATGACCCTCTCGTCTGACCCAGAAAAAACACATATAGCTGAAAAGTTTTATCCTACAAAAAAACTGACTGATTTAAAAAACACAAAACTTAAATTTCCTACTTTTCTGCAGAAAATCGGACCATTATTTATATATGAGAAGGAGTTAGTCGAGGGTGCGGTCAAGTAAATCAAAAAATTAAAATATATAAATAATTTTTGCCGACGTTTCGACCCACTTTGCAGGTCGTCTTCAGGGCGTTGGATGTGGCACTGCGGGAGGCAGTTGAAACACTGGTGTGTGTGTGTGTGTTTCAACTGCCTCCCGCAGTGCCACATCCAACGCCCTGAAGACGACCTGCAAAGTGGGTCGAAACGTCGGCAAAAATTAAAATTATTTATATATTTTAATTTTTTGATTTACTTGACCGCACCCTCGACTAACTCCTTCTCATATCATATCAACGGTCAACCATCTCTACATCATTATTTATATAATTTTTTTTGTACCCCTCTAGTTCTCCTATCACTCCTTTAAATATATCCCTTATGTATGGAACATCCTGTATATTAATTTATCATTTTGAAAACTGAGCGACCTTTCTTTAGAAAACAAGACCAAAGTTTTCTGGACCAACTGACAGCCCAAAAGCTTACTTTAAATAAAATACTTTAAAGGAAGCAAAAGGTTTGGGACTTTTCAATTTTTATTTTCAATGAGGAAGTTGACGGCATAATAAAAACTATTCAGGACTTCTTGCTGAATTGCTGATTTTAAGTTCTTCAGTTCAATTAAATAAAAATAGGGTTATCTCTTATTATTTTATAATCTATAGTATCTTATTTATCTATTTAAAAATAAAAAATGTAAAACTTTAAATTTATAAATAACATGGCTTATATTGCAGGTTTCTGTTGTTTATAGTAATGTTTTATGGCCTTGGTCTGGCTGGTTAGCAGTATATTTGAGTGTATCAAGTAATGCAGCCGATTATTCAGGTACTGCCCAAGGACACATTGAACTTACAATTGAATCTCCATCTGATTATGGTGACTTGGCTTCTAAAATTTCTCTTGCGAAATTGCCTATAAGGGCAAATATTATACCAACTCCTCCTAAACAGTGAGTATTTTTAGTTAATGTGGTCTATTTATCGATTTAGAGATTTTAGGATCAAGTTATAAGAGGAAAAAAAATTTTTTTTAGAACGAATGTCAAACTGTGATATTTAATATTACATGCATGCTAATGTATTGATTTCTTTCAGAAATGTATTGATTTAATCTTCTCAGATATTTTAAATATTGAAGTCCTATCGGAGGAAGAAATTATGTGATAAATAGTCTGAATTTTCACTTATATTTTTTAATATGTGTAAGTGTCCGTCAAGTTGTAGTTGGGTCAACGTCAAGGCAAAATTTAAATCTGAAATATAAGAGATAATTTATGTTTGTAGTACAAAGACAGACATTAATAAATAACAAAAAAAAAAAAAGAAGATAAATATCTCTCTCCCTCACTCTCTCTCTCTCTTTTTTTTCATTTTTTCTCCCACTGTACCTTAGGGCAACCCTATACCAGCGGTATGACCATTTTTCTTAATTGAACTATTTAACCTCAAAACGTAATTAGTGCTTGGTCAACAGTCTTGGTAACCAAGCAGGCAGGCCTGATCCAACTTTGATCCTCATTCATGAGCCTAAGTGAGGCAAAATTCAGCTTCTAATTTCATTGTGGCATTAAAAATGTGCAAGACTACACTAATGGGCTGCCTCCAACTAACAATAATGTTATTAGTAAATCTTAATATGAAGTAATAATATAATATATGTATGTAGCTGCAAGGGCGACTGATGAATGCAGTTGTTGGGGTTTTACGCTCCCCCGGGTTCCTGAGTACATCATACCATTCACAAACGTACACATTACAGCAAAAAATAACATATACACTGATACTAGGTCATTTTCAGTACACACCCTACAGCAGGGGTTCCCAACTTTTTTTCAGCAGCGGGCACATTTATAGATTATGTCTTGAGTGGCTTTCATCGTGTTTTTCTTCATAGTAAATTGCAGGTAGCTTACTGTTTATAAATTTTAAACAAAAATGTAAATGATATCAATAACACACACACACACACACAAATATATATAACTTAAGATATGAATTATAGTCGGATAATAGGTCATGAAATACACTTAAATGACTTAAAACAACTTCTGTTTATTCCATTTATTCAAAAACGTTTCGATCCCTGTTTTTTAACATAAATAATGCCCAACATAAATAAATAAGGTGTTAAATTATGCCTATAATAATATATTGGAATCAGTATAGATTGGCCAGAGCATTCAGTATGCTTATGTGTGGGTATGTTTATGTGCATGTGTGTGTGTATGTTTATATATATATATATATATATATATATATAAATTTTAGTGGTAGCAATAGATAATGGACAGAAGTAGGAACCATATTAATTTGATTCATTATTGTAATTTTATATGTAAGGACTGGCTCTTTATACTTTATTTTATAGTAATCTATTTTAAATTTTAGCATTTGAAGTTAGTATAAAATACATGTAAGATTGTTTTAATTCATTACTTCAGCAATTTTAATGTTTTAATTTGGCAATTTTAATTAACCAGACAGAGATTGTTATGTAGACTGTTATTGTTGATATCGATATTATTCTCGGACTCCAGGATCAGGTTGCGCGTTGCGGTTCTTAGTAGCTTGATGTCCTTGTAGCGGTACTGTTGGTTCTGCCAGCGTGCTGCCCGGCTTAGAGTATCTATACTCAATTAAAAGTAAGAAAAATTTGGTTTTATTATTGAAATGTATGAAAACTTTTGATTGATATACCAATGATAGGTATTGTTTTTCCAGAACTGAAGAGGATCCCATTATTTATGTTAAAAAACCGGGATCGAAACGTTTTTTAGAAATGGAATAAACAGAAGTTGTTTTAAGTCATTTAAGTGTATTTCATGACCTATTATCTGACTATGATTCTTATCTTAAGTTATAATATGTAAAGGTCGAATTATAAAAAAACTATTGTAATATTTTATATATATAAATATATATACATATAGTAGTAGACATATTTATCATTTCTAAAACTAATGAAATATATTTCTACAGAAAAGGTGAAAACACCAAGTGCAATGATTGCATTTATTTTTTATAGTTTTCTTATATTAAATTAACACATTTTCAAATTAAAATTGAAAATTAATTTGAAGCGATATGGATTATAGCTAGTTATAAAATGAGTTAAATGCATTGTTAACAACAGTTTCATTAATTTTTTTTTACTATCAAACAAAGAGTTTAATGAAAACAATAGTAATGATATTATATTGTTAAATGAATTATTATTGAATTTTATATCTATAAACTTTAGTTAGATTTTTAAACATTCATATATTTAATAAAGGAATTGTAAAACATTTGAATTGAAAACTCATCTATCTACAGCATGCCACATAAAAAATTTTTTATTTTTTTTTTATTTATTTATTTAGACATATAATATTCTGTCACAGGGACAATAATTATATTGATAAATGAACAAATTCACACCGTATATACAAAAAAGAAACAAAATTAAGAAAAGTAAAATAATAACTAAATAATAATAAATAAAAACTATATACAATAAAAAAAATAAAATAACCTAAATATAAGTAAATTAAAAACATAAAAATACAGTCATACCTATATACCTATATACAATATATACAATCAGGCAGGGAACCCAAATCCCTGCGCTACTCTCTCAACCGCCTCACCGGTGTTAAAGCCGGTGGAGTTTGAGCGAAAGCACTTAGCTACATCCACTCATGTCTTGAGTGGAGAATCTGGCCATTTCCAGAACTCCAAAATAAATACTATAAAAGATCTCTGGGCCACTGCCGCTTCAACCTTCGAGGAGGGTTGTAGGGATGAGTGGAACTAGATAGGGATTGGGCCAGGGGATTTGGATGATTGATAAGGTTCTGATGGAATTTTGAAAAATTTTCAGGGATAAGGTCAAGGACAAATGGGATATTAAGGTCATGATGTAGGGTTTTGTTGGTTACATAGAACGGAGCATCGACTATTGTTCGGAGGACTTTGGATTGAAAGGATTGGATGCGTTTGATGTTAGAGAATTTTGCTGTCCCCCAAAGTTCAAGTCCATAGGTCCAAATGGGTTTCAGGATTGTCTTGTAGATCAGTAATTTGTTGTCAATTGAAAGTTGAGATTTTCTGGTCAGTAGTCTGTATAATTGGCCGTATCGTCGGTTAAGTTCTTGTCTTTTAAGTCTAGTATGTGGGTTCCACGTTAGTCTTCGGTCTAAGATAAAGCCAAGATACCGGACTGTGTCTGAAAAAGGAAGCTGGATGGAATTAAAGTGGACTGATGGACAGGATCTGCGGCGGAGTGTGAAGGTAATGTGTTTGCATTTGGATTCGTTTACTTTGATGAGCCATTTATTACACCAGTGCTCAATCATGGAGAGGTGCCTTTGAAGATTTAAAGATGCTATTTCGGGATCTGAGTTAGATGATAGGATGGCTGTGTCATCAGCAAATGTTGCCAGGAAGGTATTGGGATGGACAGGGATATCGGCGGTAAAAAGGATATAAAGGACGGGGCCCAAGACGCTACCTTGAGGAACATCGGCTTCAACTGGGTAGGAGTTGGAAAATTCTGAACCACAGCGAACCCGAAAGGTACGATCAGAGAGGTAGGAGCAGAGGATTAAGTACAAGGGCTGGGGTAGATAGGTTTTCAGCTTGGAAAGAAGCCCGGCGTGCCATACCCGGTCAAAAGCTTGAGCTATGTCCAGAAAAGCACCCGAGCAATATTGCTTGCTTTTCAGTGCTGCGGAAATATGACCACTCGGAGTCCTTGTTGGACTGTGGAGTGTTGTGAACGAAATCCGAACTGATGTGAAGGAAGATTTTGGGATTCTATAAAAGGTAGGATTCGTTTCAGGAGGATCTTTTCAAAGATTTTGGAGAGGATTGGAAGTAGGTTAATTGGTCTATAGGCCGTAGAGGTGTTGGGAGATTTGCCTGGTTTCAGAAACAGGATAATAGTGGAGTGTTTCCACAAAAGAGGAAAGTGGGTGGTTCTAAGGATGGTATTGTATAAATAAGTGAGAAATATAACAGCTTTAGGAGGAGGTTGTCGAAGGATTTGAGATGTAAGGAGGTCGTATCCAGGAGATTTACGGAGAGGAAGTTTTTGTAAGTGATGTTTGACCTCAGAAGGATTAACTGCTTTAGGGGGCAAGGAAAGTGGAATGGGTGATGTAAGGAATTCTTCTACTGTTGTGGTATGGTTGAGGTTGGATTCCGGATGAGAGGTAAATGTTCTGGAGAGGTGATTTTAGGATTTTGTTGGTAATTATCCATAGGGAATTGTCATGAACAGAGGGGGAAGTAAGGTAGGAGTTGAATGATTGGGATTTGAAGGTGGCCAATTCCTGCTTTAATTGTTTACTGTAATAATTATAGGAGCAACGATCGATGGGGTGTCTAGTACGTTGCCATAATAATCTGGCACGACGTTTGGTATGGATTAGGTCTATGAGGTGTTGAGGTAACTTATTTTTCTTGGGAGTTCTTGAGGAGTGGTTTGGAGAGGAAGCAGTCCAGATTGCTTGTTGGATGGTGGTGGTAAACAGGTGTACGGCATTGTCAAGGTCATCTGGGGTTTTCAGGGTTATTCCGAGGTCAATTTTATTGGACAGGATTTGGTGAAAGAGTTTCCAGTTAACTGGACCTCTGATGAAGGACGGTGGAGAAGACTTAGGAATAGGAGCTAGAGATAATTGGAGTAATAATGGACTATGATCTGAGGATAGTTCGGCAAGACGGGTAAGGGAATGATTGAGGGGACCTAAGCCACTGTGGATGAAAAAATCAAGGATATCGGGATTGCGGTTAGGATCTGTGGGCCAGTAGGTTGGTGAGTTGGGTGGAAGGAGGCTGAAACGTTGTTGGTTACATAGAAAGAAGCATAGACTATTGTTCGAAGGACTTTTGACTGGAAGGATTGGATATGCTTGATGCTAGAAAATTTTTCTGTTCCCCACAGTCTAGTCTGTATGTCCAAATA